GTTGACATACAGATGATGGTTGAATCAACATTGATATAATGTCAGTTATGGTTGAAACCCTAACGTTGATTCAACATACAAGTCACCGACCACTTTCAATGTTGTTTCAATGTCAGCGTTCAACGTTGATTCAATGTTTCTGGCTGACATTGATTCAATGTTGTTTCAATCATTCTGTGCTATCTGGGTAGTTAGTTAGTTAGTTAGTCTCAAACTAAATTAGTTAGCATGTTAAATGTTTTTAACGTGAAAGTGATTTTCTCTTCCTGAAGTGATTTTTCTGAGCTGGAGTCAAACTTGTCTTTCTGTTTGTTTCAGCGTTTTGGTTTTTGGTGAAAGATTCCCAACGTGATAAAATCCATTAACCTTTTCGATCTCATGATTTCATAGAAATTTGGTTTAAACGCTGCTGATCTGACTGGACTTGTTGGATTCGGTGTGTCTACATTCAAACCCAGCAGGTCTGAGCTGAAACTCAGAGAATCATGAATAAACTGAAGGATTGTGAATGTAGAAGCAGGAACACGTTTTGGTGATGGATGGTCTCACGCTTTAATAAAAACATCGGGTTATTTTTGTTGAGTCCCTGAAAGCGACGTCCTAATTATGTCTCCTGTGGATGAATTAATAAAAACCTAATATCCAGGAAATACGATGCTGTTGACATGTTTGCACAGAGATTCAATTAAAAGCAATAATCAGACTAAAATTGGTTTGAGAGCAGCGTTCAACACAAAGTGCCTTTGTGTATGGTAAAAGCCTGGCAGAGACGTTTTTATTTTATGAAAATTAGAGGCTCTTACAAAGTCAAAGCAAAATCTGTGGAAAGGCTCCAACCTGATCAGACCTCATTAGAAATGTCTGCAGAGTTCAACCTGCACAAACAAACCGAGGAAATGCAGAACAACTAAACTGGAAGCAGATTTAAAAAACAAAAAATACCCAAAAAATGTAAAATGTAAAGAGAGAGAGAGGAGGGATTGTTCTGTTGGATGAAACAGAGCCAAGAACCGTTAAAAGAACGATACAAAAACCTGATTAAAGTCCAGTAGCAACCTGTTCCCCTCCTGGCCTGTGGGGGCGCTGCACCAAGGACCACTGAAGGAAACGACAAAAACCTCTGAAGACACTGAGAGCAACTTCCTTCTTCACCAGATGGAAACAAGATGGAGGCGTCAGATTTTAGTGGTTGGAGGATTTCTATTTAGTCTAAAGACCAGGAGCCATTTCTGCTGCTAGCGCTAGGCTAGTACGTTAGCTTTGGTTGGATTTACCCAGAATGCCCTGCGTGGGAGTCCACTTCCTGCTTTTGGAGCGGTCTGAAGCGGACCAGAGACACAGATGCAGAATCAGAAGTAAAGTTTGTGTTTTTAACGATTAAACTTCAGTTTGTGGTTCAGCGACATCTGGAGAGGAAGAGGAGCAGATCACAATCAGCAAATCGACTCAGAATATCGATAATATTGATACCACGTTGGTATTGGACTGATGATAAGATCAATACTTTAGTGTCAGATTCTCTCTAAATTTTATTTAGTCTTTGTAGTTTCTCAACTTTACTGTACAAAAGATTTTGCTTTGATTTCTCAGATGAGAGAAATAATTTTTCTCTCATGAGAAAATGATGAGATTTTCTCATCATTTTGTAAATAATAATATAAATTATTTACATAATATAAATAATATTTGTTATTTAGAAATGTGTTTTATTTTACTGTTTATCATGTAAATATCAATATCATTATGTATATTTTGTAAAAACATAAAAACTTTATGGTCAGTTTTGGTTTAAACAAAATCATTCAAAAGAAAAACAATAAAAACATCTAAAGGTCAGAAGATTGATGATATATCGTTTTAATATCGATATCGGCGATAATGGCCCTTTATTTACTTCGTATTGCATCGATATGAAAACATGCAGCATCGCAGATTAATGAAAACCTTCATAATCCAGGAACAGGTGAGAGCAGACAGGTGTGCAACCTGCTTCAGAGATCTTCTATTCATGAAGACATCTCACTCCCACACACCAGGAACATTACTCCATTAAATTAGTCTGTAATTAAAAATGCTAATTAATCAACAAAATTGTTTTTTATTACAGAAAACTTTGATTTTTACAAAGTGAAGAGCCGAATCTGGTTGTTTATCTTTGAATGAAACCCAGCAGCTCTGATCATGGCTGCTGCTTCACTTCACGGTGGAAAATGATCATTTATGCTCAGAAATAAGTTTCACTAGACGACAGGATTCACTGAATTCACTCCATTCTTTTCCTTCAAGGGTGAGAGAACGATAATTATTATTATTCTTGAATCATGGCGTATTATTCCTGCAAGGACGACATGAAGGTACATGCTGCAGAGGGAGGGAAACATCTGACGCTCCAAAGAGAGGAAATAATCAGAAAGGAGCAGATGGAGATCAGGAAAGAGAAGTTTGATGGATTATTTGGATTTTACACGAACAGAACCACGTCTCTGATTTAATGTGAGGAGCTTAAAGGGTTTTAAAACGTAAAATATTTCCCAGTAAAAAGACACAAAGAGCAACTGAAGAGCAGAGGAAACAGAGGAGAAGCTTAAAGCTGCTCATAAATCTCACCCACAGCAAACTACGGTGGTGGCAGAATAATGCTGTGGGCCTGCGTTTCTGCAGGTGAATTGGTAAAAGTTAAGTAATCCTGGCAAAGATTTTAACCTGGAAGCTGAAAATCATTCAAAGTCTGAACCAAAATTAATCTGAGAATGTGATTAAAATATTGACCCTCAGATTTTCTCCACCAGTCGGACTGAACTCCAGCTGCTGCACAGAAACAGGCTTCAGTCTCAAACGACTGAAAACACAAATTCCCACCACACTTTTCAGATTTCTATCAGTGAAAATGTTGTAGACCATTTGTCATCAACCTTTCCATCGCTGTTATTTTCTACTTTCTGTTCTGTCCCATAAAACACAGCTGATGGTTCTGAGCTGAAATCATTTCCACCTCAGTCATTTCTGAGTTTTGACCCAAACAAGAAGCAGTTTGATTTGAAGAGCCGTCAGATTGGAGCCAAACAGCCAAAGACTTCTGGTTTCAAAACAGGAAAATAGTTTCTACGTCCAACCAGAGAAGATTTACCGCCTCCAAGCGCAGAGACCAAAAATAAACGGGGCAGTAATGAAATTAGAGGGGTAGCGGTGTGTGTGTGTGTGTGTGTGTGTGTGTGTGTGTGAGGGAATGCTGCAGCACCTGAGAGGCAGACATGCAGCTGAGCTCCTCCCACCGCCTGCAGCAGCAGCGCTGTTACCTAGAAACCAGCCGGAGCCGGAGCGACCAGCGGGCGGAGCAGCAGCACTGAGTCCGGCTGCGGAGCGCCGAGCGCGGCGTGGCGCAGCGCGGTGGGGCCGGGACGCGCCTGGAGGTCTCTCCTGTTTCCCCGCTGAAAGCCTCGGAGCGGCGGACCGCGCAGCGCCTGGAGGTGAGCCGGAGTTCAGGGAGGATTTCTGCTGAGGCTCATTTCATCACAGCTTAATTCAGGCAGCAAAGTTTATAAGACTGAAAATAATTATTATAAAAATGAATGCAAATGAGTTAAATTAGCTGGAAGACAGAAATCTCGCTGCGCAGAGATAAAATGATAAATGTTTTTCTCTCATTTCCTCCATTTTCACATTTTTATATGTCGGTTTATCATATTTTGAGTTTTTTTAATTTTATTTACGTGATTTTTGTTTTTGTTCCTCTTTGCTGCCGGGTTGTTTGTAGCATCTCAGTGCACATGGAAATATTTAACTTTTAATATTTATGTCATTTTATTACATGATGAATTTCCTTTTGCTTTTTTTAGATCATTTTAACACAAACCAAATAAACCTGACATGATGCATAAGCATTACTGTAATACATATTATTATTATTATTATTATTATTATTATTATTAGTTTTTAAATAAAATCAGTGTAAATGTATGAAACCTATGAAATATGATGAAATCTAAAATGCTGGATTCATTTTTCACAGATTTTAGTTCATTTCTGAATATTTTTTATGTTTCTGGCTGAACACAAACATGAAACATTAAAATGATTTTAACAGAATGTTACTGAGCAGCAGATGGTGCCTGACTGGAGAAAAGCCAGAGAGTCTGTTTCCAAGCAGATTAACTAAAAGTTCAGTGGAAGGAAAAAGTGTGATTGAGGAGGAAGCTGAGATACTGAGAAGATTGTGAAGTAAATTTATTTCAAGGTTTGCAGCTGAGGTCATTAAAAGCTTTGAAATTATCCAGAGTTTATTCATCATCATTTACAGGAACTCAGGTTGTTAAATCTGTCCTGTGGAAAAATAAAAACGTTTAATAATTTGATCTTTACGTTTAAACAACAAAGCAAAACGTGATTTGGATGCAGAGACACGGAGAGACGGCAGGAAAACCGATTTCAGTGAGATTCAAACATTTTCCTGCTTTGAGGAGCTTCTTAAAGAGACAGAGACCCAATTTCAAGCCATCAGATTCGACTCCAAACAAAGTCAAATTTCTATACAGTTGTTTGACATATTCAGTCTGACTCCAGTCTGGTGTCTAGTCAAAGTCCGGTCCAGTTGGTGAGGTGTGAGTGCTAACTGACCTCTGTCCTCTGGTCCTCCAATCCTCGTCTGGGTTCGGTTGAAGTGAATTCTGGTTCAGTTTGAATGTGAACGCCAAGCGGACCGTAGACCGCTCCAAAAGCAGGAAGTGGACTACAATGCAGGGCATTCTGGGTAACTCCAACCAGAGCTAACATGCTAGCCTAGCGCTAGCAGCAGAAATGGCTCCTGGTGTTTAGCCTAAAGAGAAATCCTCCAACCGCTAAAATCCTCCATCTTGTTTCCATCTGGTGAAGAAGGAAGTTGCTCTCAGTGTCTTCAGAGGTTTTTGTGTCGTTTCCTTCAGTGGTTCTTGGTGCAGCGCCCCCACAGGCCAGGAGGGGAACAGGCTGGTTTGACTCAGAGCCACAGCAGCTGGAGGAGGAGCAGATGTTCTGGTTCCAGTAGAACCGGGTCGACCGGACCGAAGGAGGAGACACAGTCATACAGTCTGAACTGTTAGAAGAAGCAGATAAAAGTTTTTTCAGAGAAAGTCTCAGTTTGCTGTTGATCTGTTTACAGCTGAACCTGGAACTGATATGTTTCTGTCTGATTCTGGGATTATCTGCATAATCTGTGAAATCACATCTAGTTTACTTCTGTACAATTTCTATTTTACTGAAGTATCTACATGCTTCATTTTACTTTATTATTTATCTATTTTATAACTTAATTTGGATCTCTGGATCATGTCTCCTAATTGATCTTTAATCTGTCAGATAATCTGGGTAAATCCCCTCCAGAGATCAGAGGAACTGTTTCAGCTGCTGAGTTTGTTCAACATGTTTAATGACATGAATTCGGTTTTTCAGGTTTGGATTTTATTCTGCAGCTTGTCAGAGGAGTGTGAACTGAAATTCTATCAGTTATGATTTCAGAGAGGAAAGCGATGCAGAGATGCAGCTTTGGAAGCAGCGCCATGTTTTCCAGGAAGTAAATTGTTTATATCACAGATTATTTCAGGAAAAAGTTTGTTTGTTTCTCAGCAGCTGTGTGAAACTGAAAGGTCATGAAGGAGGAGGGGAACAGCGCCCCCTCTGGTTGAGTCTGACCCGTTTGGTTCGAGACTCGGTGAATCGGCTCCGCATCTGGAACTGGTTCAGGTTTCCATGGTGACAGACGAAGTTCCTCCCACATGAAGTCTGTTCACACATGGAGACGCGCAGGAATCATCCTGACCGGGTCAGATTGCAGTCAGGATTTCAACCTGCTTGTTTCATTTATTATTTCAAAATGCAGACAGGCTTTAACTGAATCTGAGGGTTTTATGTTTTCCATCGTGTTTTATGAAGCAGATTTTATCTGTGAAAACTGCAAAGAAAATGTTCTTACATCATGGAAGTGAATATGAGTTCATGGCTTTTTGGGAAATGAACTGAAAAACATTTTGCCAAACCTAAAGTTGATCAAATCTGCTAAATATTTTAACATGAATTATTATTATTTGTTGTCAGAGTTGATAGATTCATAACTGCAATAAATATCATTCATTTGGGTTTTTTATTTCAAACATTTTTACATACACCTGCTGCTAATATTTCATAATGTTTCGTTTTACCTCAGGTTGAGACTCTCAGTCATGAACTTTAGTCTCAATGTTGGATGAATCTTTTGTCTGAATTGTTATTAGTTAATATAAAGTGTTAGGTACTTTTAATCTCAGCTCACAAATTATTTAGAATCCAGAAGCTTAAAGTTATTAATTTTTATGCTTTTATCTGATTTATGGTCAGATGATCGACAGAATCATTGATTGTTGAAATAATCGTTGCAGCTCTAATTAGCAGCGTTTCCACCAATCAGGACGGGATTTATTTATCGTACAGAGTTTCAGAAAAATCAAAAGAGCAGAAGTTTAAAAACATTGATCAGAAACAGGATAAAATACATTAAATTCAAGGATAAAATTAATGAACTATAAATCAGAAAAATAAACTTATTGACTGAAAACATTTATTTAGCTGGAAAATTGTTTGTTTTAATTCAGGAGAATTAAAATATTTGCACTAGAAACTAAACAGAAACAGTTGGTAAGATTTTGTGTTTTTGAAGGAATCAGATTTTAATAAGCTGAGAAAAACATTTAGAGGAAACAGCTCTGACATTGCTGAAATAACATTTATTTAGATTTATGTTATGGATTGATGCATTAAGTAATTAAATAGTTTCCAATCAAGATTCAGATAAAATTCATTTGTTCATTATCAGTTCTGCTTTTCAGAAAATGCGACAGAATTTAATCTTCATCTGCAATAATCCAGTCTGTTTGTGTTAGATTAAATAAGTTCAGATTCCTTCAGCGATATTTTCTTATTTTTTATTCTCTTTGATGAATAAAACCGTTCCTCAGCGGGTCGTCCAGGAATCGGTTCTGTTTCTGCAGATGACTGAGTGAATGTGAAGGTGAGATCATGAAGTTTCACTCAGGCGGTAAGTGAAACAGTGCCGCTTTTCAGCATGAATGGATTCCCATAGAGCGGCGTGGCAACCACCAGGCAGACAGCAACATGCGGGGGAGGGGCGATTTTCCTGAGGCGTTATGGCGATGAAGAGATCAATAAGTTCGACCGTTTATTTTAAACCTGCTGAAACTAATATGATTATGAAATATGATTCAGGATTCTGCTAAAATAAAATACTTTGCTTTCACATTTCAATACTTTAAAGAATCCGAACATCATAAAAACATCATAAAAACATGAAAACATCATAAACACATGAATGAAATCACTTTCATTCATGTGGAAAACAAAGACTATTAAATATCATCTCACTGTTTCCAGAAACGTTTTTCTGGAAACAGTGAAGCACGGCGGTGGCGGTGTGGTGCACTGGGCTGTTTTGCTGCTTTGGGAGCTGAAAGTCGTTCATTTTGTTTTTGCTGAACTGATTTTACAGAAACATCAGTTACAGTTGTCTCTGTATGAACTCAGATCGGAGCAGAGGAACGATTCTTCAACTCCTGAGTGAACAACCAGGGCAGCCATATTGAAACGCTTCACCTTCTCCGGGCGGCAGTAACCATGGGATGACGGTAACCATGGAGACGGGTGGTGACAGGCGAGATAATTCAGTTGTTCTCTGTTTGGACGAATATTTTTCTCTTTCTTGTTATAGTTCTTGTTTTCAGTCGGAGTTTTATTTAAAGATCACCAGCAGAGTTTCACACCTGAAAGCCTTAAAGGGCCGGTAACGTGCTTCCAGCCATATGGACATTTTACAGCAAAATCAAGCAACAATGTTTCCTTCAGTTCATATTTCCAACAACTTCAAATAAATGTGACTTTTCAGTTTGAAGCCTTGAAACTGTCTCTTTATCAACATTTAACAAAATGATTTATTTTAAACCTGCCAGAATATGAAAACCTAGAAAACAGAGAAACTTCAGAGAATTTGGGTAAAACATTTTCTTAAAAATGTATTTATTTAAAATGAACATTTTGATATTTTCATCATGTTTTAATGTTTTCCTGCAGTGTTTCTTTGATTCTTTCATGTTTGAGAAATCCTTTAATCTCCATGGCAACCATTCAGCTGCTAAACACCTGGATGAACCTAGCCCCGCCTTCCAGGCGCAGCTCCTCCACCATTCAGTTCCTTCAGACTAGCCAGCAGCAATTAGCAAACAGCTGCTGAGCTCATTACAGGAGCTCAGCAGCTGTAATGAACGTTAAAGGGTTAATAGAGGAGCCATGTTGGGACGACTTCCTGGAGGCGGAGCTTCAGAAAGAGCAGGAGCTTCTTAAAGAGACAGCAGCCCAATTTCAAGGCGATAAATAAGGAAGCAAAATTCCTTTTAAGTCAAAATTTAACACATTTTAATAACTGCTGAAGGTAACAGAGTTACTTCATTCAAAATGGCCGCTATGTGCCTGGAAAACAGTTAATCCTTCCATTTACATGTTAATCACAGAGATTAATCTGATTAATCTGATTAATTTTGAATTGATGTTATTATAACTGGACAGAAACTGATCCTGATTCAGATCAGATGGTTCTGGATAAAAATAATTTGGAGATCTTCATCGTCTGAAGTGTCTTAAGGAAACTTTCTGGAAATTAGCAGGAAATAAATAAATAAAAAGTAACCAAATTATTTATTTGGACAAACTAAATGTAATAAAATCAGTTAAATTTAGTCTGAAACATTATTTCCTCCTGAGATCAGATTGAATCCCTGACAAGATGTGAGGAGCAACACTGAAAAAGATCCTGTCATTTTAACTGCAGGATCATTTTAGATAATATGAGGTAAATTAAACCTGTAGGATTTCTTCGTTCTTCTTCTCTATCGTCTGTGAAAGTCGACTTTTTGTTCTCCTCTCTCAACTGTTTCCACTGGGGAAAAAATCCATCTGAATTTAATTTGGTTTTGTCTGATTTATGATCCTCCGTTTCTCTCCTCTTGGTTTCCATGGCGCCCAGATTTGGCACATTTAGCGTAATCACAAGAAACTGGAGATTATTGAAAATGGTAGAGAAATCAGAGAGCGTTTGAGTTGAGGAGGAAACGGTTTGATAAAAACCTGGTTTGTTTCTGAAACGTTGGTTCATGGCAGCAGGAAACAGAGTTTATCGGTTTAATGCTTTATTTTTGTTCCATCTGGTTTATTCTGAGTAAATTAATGATTTTTGTGCATTAAATAGGAAGTTTCACCAGCAGACAGATTGGAAATCTTTAACTGTTGATTTGTTTCTTAGCCTCAGTTTTTATTAAAAATATACATTTACTGTAAACCTCTGAGACGTTAGTGGGCAGGTTTGAACATTTACTGATATTTCTTATCTTTTGTTCTTTCTACTCTTTGTTGATAGTTGATACTGAGTCGTTTTTGCAACTAATGCTGCATGTGTTACAGAGCATTAATGCTGCGTTTGTTTCTCATCTGGTTCCGTCTGGATACAGAGTTTAACTGCTGCTGGTTCTAAATGAAACACTGAACTGCTGCTAAAATTGTTCAATAAACAGAGGAGAGAGGAAACCAGTCAGGAGGCAGAATGTGGATTTATATATTTTCATAAATTCTGCTGCTGCAAAACATAAAAATGAACAGAAAATTCAGATTTTTAGGAAGCTTTTGTTGTTTTTGTGTCTTAGAAAGAATTTAACTTTTTCATAGCCACAAATATCAATCCATCATAAAGTGGTCAATAATAATAATAATAATCGATTTTTTTTAAAGCACCTTTCAAGGTCATCTTAGTAAATAAAAGGAATAACATTTTAACAGACAACAAAATATAAAAAAGAGAAAATAGTTCATGAATCAGAATCACAGCAGAGAAAATAAACTCTCATCCCGTCTAGATGAATTTATAAAATTTCACATCTTCCCACAGAACTGTTTGTTATATTATAACTGCCTCCTTTAATCTGGTGTTTCTGCTGGTTTTCTTCCTCCTCTGTTTTCTGCAGCTTCTCCAAACTGTCGGGCTTTAATTGCTCCACGTTTAGCAGCGATGCTCCTTCCTGTCTGCTTCCACCAGCGGCTCAGATGTTGTTTTTCTGGTTGCTAAGTTAAAATAGCTTCTTGACTTGATGCTGAGATGAGATATTAGAAGCAGGGAGACGTGTCGCCGTCATCACAGCTGTAAAAAGATCTAAACCGTTTCGCTTTGTGGCAGATAAAAGAAAGAAATGTTCATTTAATCAGGTTACTGTTCGTTTCATTTCAGCAACAACTTCAAAATGCTTTATATTATAAAAACATCAAACCGTCGCTGAGAAACTAACATTTGTTGAGTTTCATCATAAAAATCATTGAAACACAAAATGTGATGAAATATTGACATTATGTCAATCAAATCTCTGCTGGGAATAAATGAGTTTATCAGAGAATTTCTTCTGGATGTTTAATATTCACACTTTTTGCAGTATTTCTCAATAACTGAAAGCTCCTGATGTCATTTTATTCATGTTTGAACATGAATAAAGCTGAAGAGTTGAATTATTCGTCTGGTTTTCTTCAGCCTGGATCTGGATCCCTGCTGTCCTTGGAGAACAGAGCCGATGTGAATCAGACCTGGAGGAGGATCATCCTCTGCTTTTCTGTCCACGGCGGAGCGACAGCCGTGTCTCAACATGGGGGGCGCCTCGCCGGGCGGGGCCGCGTGGGAGAACGGCAGCCTGGCGCCCGGCGTCTCGTTGTTCCTGTTCAACGACCAGAACGACTCGCTGCTCAACGCCACCAACTCCACCGCCCTGGACGGCGCCGGGCCCAGCGCCGCCGCCGTCCTCATCCCGCTCATCTATGTCGTCGTCTGCGTCATCGGCCTGGGCGGGAACACGCTGGTCATCCACATCGTGCTGCACTACTCCAAGACCGAGTCGGTCACCAACATCTACATCCTGAACCTGGCCATCGCAGACGAGCTGTTCATGCTGGGCCTGCCCTTCCTGGCCGTCCAGAACTCGCTGCAGGCCTGGCCCTTCGGACCCTTCATGTGCCGACTCGTCATGACCGTCGACTCCATCAACCAGTTCACCAGCATCTTCTGCCTCACCGTCATGAGCGTCGACCGCTACCTCGCCGTCGTTCACCCCATTCGCTCCTCCAAGTGGCGGCGCCCTCCGGTGGCCAAAGTGGTGAACGGCACCGTGTGGGCTCTGTCCTTCCTGGTCGTCCTGCCGGTGGTGATCTTCGCCAACATCCAGAAGGCGGGAGGAACCTGCAACATCAGCTGGCCGCAGCCGGCCAACATCTGGAGGGCCGCCTTCATCATCTACACCTCCACCGTGGGTTTCTTCTGCCCGCTGCTCATCATCTGCCTCTGCTACCTGCTCATCGTCTTCAAGATCCGCAGTTCGGGCAAAAAGGTCCACGCCACCTCAACCAAAAGGCGGAAGTCGGAGCGGAAAGTGACGCGAATGGTGGTGATAGTGGTGGCGGTCTTCGTCTTCTGCTGGTTGCCTTTCTACGCCCTGAACATCATCAACCTGCTGGTGTCTCTGCCGTCGGACTACCAGGGGCTTTACTACTTCGTGGTTGTGCTCGGATACGCCAACAGCTGCGCCAATCCCATCGTTTACGGCTTCCTGTCCGACAACTTCAAGAGAGGTTTCCGGAAGGCCCTGTGCCGCTCCACCAGGAAGGTGGAGAGCCACGAACCGGCGGAAAGTCCGCGGCAGCAGGACGAGGGGCGGCGGGCGCTGCTGCCCAGGGAGAGCCTGCGGCGGGCCGTCCGCCACGACGATGACGACGATGAAGATGCGTCTGAAATGACTGAGATCTACCAGATCACCCAGAACGGGAACGGCGGCTTCCCGCCTCAGGCCGCGGAGAGAGCGGCGGAGAGTTCGACCCCGGACCGGGGCGACGGCGGCGGGGACCCCAGAGGGAAGGAACCGGCCGACGGGCCGACCCTCACCGGGTCGGTTCTGACCGGTTCGGTCCTGACTGGGTCGGTTCCGACAGTCCCGCTGCTGCTGAACGGAACCAAAAACGGAAGCGTGAAAACTCTGCCGGAAGAAAACACGGAACAGAGCCCCTCACTGGAGATAAGTTATTTATAGTGTAAAATAAGAAATAAAAAAAATAGCTTAATATCATGGTGGCCTTCAGTGGCGTTCATACAGTCTGTATGACTATAATCTGTAGATATTTGCACATCTAGATGTATAACTGTGCCTTTACCTGCTCTTTGGTGTTAAATGTTGGTTTGAACAGAAAATTAGAGGAAAATTCACAAAACCATCTGCCTGCACTAAGACATCGATACTGAGTAAAAACTGGGCTCATATCGCCGATACTAATTCCTATAACGATACTTTCTTTTGAGATGTCATTATCACTGAATATCTTCAATAGTTTAACAGAGAAGTGTTATCATATTCAACCATATTCACATCTGCAAATATTTTAAAAAGTATCCTGATGTGAAACTGAAGAAGTGATTTTTTTATATTTAGGATTTTAATTTGCTGGTATGAACTCTGTCAGCAAATTCCAGAAATTTCCTGGGAGAGAAACTGTAAACAAAGTATTGATCTTATCAAGCTAGTATCGATCTGACACCAATACTCACCTTGGTATAGATAGTATTGGTATTTTGATTGATAAAAACCAGATTCTACTTCTCCAACTATAAGCTTTAAGATCTGCAGATCTAGATGTGATTGGCTGCAACTTGCCGAACTGAATGTTTGTTTCTTTATTTAAAACAATTCAGGGAGCAAAACCTGCAGAAACCATAAAAATATGTTGTTGCTTTGTGAGTTTTCCTCTTGTTTTGTTAAATCTTTGTCAGAGTGATCATTTGCTATTTTCTTTTTTTTTTAAAGTGTTGCAGAAAGATTATCAGAAAGTACAGTTAGCAAACAGATTAAAACTTCTTCATATGTAATTTAACTCCTAGATTCTACTGAGTTTGTTGTAATATTTTCATTTTGATTCAGAACAAATGGATTCCACTCGTTTTGTTTCTGCTCTCAGATTGATTTCTGAAACGCCTGTCAGAGCTCCTGACGTTAACCAAAGTCCTTCACAGTTCAGTTGTTCTGCTTCGCTTTGTGCGGCTAACGCTCTGAAGGTCAGCCTCTAAAAAGCTTCAGGTAAACAGTCTTACATCACTGCGGCAATTCAGCACATTTGGAGAAATATTTCTTTCATAAATAACAGGTAGAGCGACGCTTTTATGATTCTGATTCAAGAACAAATTAATTTCACATTCCAGTTAGAAATGAAAATCCAGAGACAATTCAAAACATCTTTCAACTTATAAAACCTTGACTGCGCAGGCCACGCCCCCCTTGGCTGTAGGTCATGCCCCCTTGGCTGCAGGCCATGCCCCCTTGGCTGCAGGCCACGCCCCCCTTGGCTGTAGGTCATGCCCCCTTGGCTGCAGGCCATGCCCCCTTGGCTGCAGGCCACGCCCCCCTTGGCTGCAGGCAATGCCCCCTTGGCTGCAGGCCACGCCCCCCTTGGCTGTAGGTCATGCCCCCTTGGCTGCAGGCCACGCCCCCCTGGCTGTAGGTCAGGCCCCCTTGGCTGCAGGCCATGCCCCCTTGGCTGCAGGCCACGCCCCCCTTGGCTGCAGGCCACGCCCCCCTGGCTGCAGGTCATGCCCGCCTTGGCTGCAGGCCACGCCCCCCTTGGCTGCAGGCCACGCCCCCTTGGCTGCAGGTCACGCCCCCTTGGCTGCAGGCCATGCCCGCCTTGGCTGCAGGCCATGCCCGCCTTGGCTGCAGGCCACGCCCCCCTTGGCTGCAGGCCACGCCCCCTTGGCTGCAGGCCACGCCCCCTTGGCTGCAGGTCATGCTCTGCAGACTCATGTTCTCTGCAGATTAACTTCTGAGATGTCTGGTTGTTTTTATTTCAGAACTATGAAATGTTTAATTTAGACTAGAAAGTTTCACTGAGCACCAAAAGATCATTTATGTGTCAAAAGGAGTAAATTTAAAAAACTAACTTTTTCTCTTGGTACCAAACAATCTGCAGACATTTTATATTATCTGCTGTTGAAAGCTTTGTAACTGTTTTCCAGTTTTCATTCCTTTTAGCATTTTTTAACCTTTGAACTCGTCAGGCTGCATTAACTTTCCATCAATTCTCATTTTTAATAACTGAATGTTCATTAGAGAAGCCCAGATGTAACAGCTTAGATTAGTGGTGTTTACAATGAATCTACGTTGCTTTCTTGTGCGTGTTGTTAATGTTGAGCTGTCTGTGAGTTCATTAGATCCCTTTCTTGAAACCGAAGCTGTAATTTGGATGTTTTTCCTCTTTCTCCGTGTGAGCAGGTCAGACAGCCGCTGACGAGCTGCTGGCTGTTTCTGTGGGTTGATCTCATTCACACTGAGACACATCAGAGCGACTCAAACAGCAGCTTTAGCTTTAGCAGTAACATGATTCACATGTTACTGTTCAGCAGATGAGCCTGGTAGCATCATGGCTCCAGGTCCGGCCCGGTCTGGTCCGGACCTGGGCATTGTGCTAATGTTAGCACAATGCTAACAATTAGCATTGTGCTACATGTTAGCATTCAGATGCTATTTTAGCGTTTAATAGCTTCACTGCTAGGCTAACTCCTTTTAGCACAACTAGAACACATCAATAGCCTTTTCCAGCGTCCAATCAGATCGTTTAGAAACAGAAACTAACCAGAGAGAAGCAGCTTCATCCTCCATCGCTGTTAGCGGACGTAGCTGTGCGTCAGGTTTACAGGCGTACCAGAAACATGATACATGATTTTTATATGTAAAATAAAATTTGTGATTAATTGTGTTTAAAAAATATATGCATAACATTTTGTGTGATTAATTAATCGAAATATATTCATTAAAGTCACTTGTGCATAAACAGGGTGAATTTTTATTATTAATATCGTTTCAAGATGAAAGTTTTCAATACTTCAGAGAGAAAATTGCTATGAAATCTTTTAATTTATGCAGCAAGTTTTATTTTCTCTGAGTTTAGAAACATGTTTGGAAGAGTAAACATGTGAAGAGGATGAAGAAAATTTTTATCAAAGAATATGAGAAGAATCATCCTTCAGAGTTTCACTCAGGCCTTTCATTCATGACTTCAACATAAAACGGAGCTGGAGCTAAGTGTTCAACACACACACACACACACACACACACACACACACACACACACCTTTCTGCAGAGATCCACTGAGAAGCATAAAACCATCATTCCCAGCACATTAAACAACACTGCTGACTGAGAAGTTTGTAGAGATCTGTTCAGTGTGTGTGTGTGTGTGTGTGTGTGTGTGTGTGTGTGTGTGTGTGTGTGCTCAGCTATAAATTCTGTAGTTTTATACCAGTCCAGTATTCCCAGTAGGACGGAAGAGATTCCCAGTAGTTTTCTTTGGTTTCTGCTGCAGCTTTTACATTCAGGCTCTGCTCAGATTCTCAGGAATAAAATGTGTTTTTGTGAATCTGCTGATTTTTCCTGAGTTTTCCAGCTGGAGCAGATTTCTGCTCTGTGAAGTATTTACAGCTTAGAAGAGACGCAGAAAAATAATAAAATATGAAATATAATTTGGAGGATAAACCAGCTGAGACAACAAAAATTAAAGAGAGGCAGGAGGAACTGAGAAAAATAATAATGTAAATCTGAGCAAAATGTAAATTATGTAGACGAAGGTAAACCTGATTAAGAGAACGCTCTCTGTCCTCCTGCAGCTTTTATTTTATTTTTTAGACAATTAAATGAACATATTTTTGATTAAATATAATAATGTGTTTTATACAAGAAGACAAGTAAAGACTTTGACATGTTTTAACAGACATGAAGTCCAAACATCTGACAGAAACTGGTCATATTGTAGGTTTCAGTCTGCAGCCTGCTTCAGGTCAAAGGTCAAAATGAAGAGAGCTGGACGTTTAATCTGAGATGTTTCTGTGAACAACAAGCAGGATGGCAGAAAATATGAACGTTTGTGATATGATGAGTCAACCAAGCATTAAAAAACCATCAGATTTACTCAGCAGATCAAATGTTAATTCCTGCAGGTTTTTCTGCTTCATCTAATTAATATTCAGTTTGAATGTTTGTTGTTTCACATTCAGTCAGATCAATATCTGAGAAAACAATCTACCTACAGGAATCTACGGCTAACATGAATATTTTAATATTAAAGTAGAAAATAGTTTATGAACTGTTGTGATGGAGGATTGATGAGAAAACTCAGAGTTTAAACAGATTAAAACAGAATAAGAGGCTAGAAACAAATTTTACTGGTGATGAATTATCCCAGAAGTTATTCTGATAAATGATAACGTTGCTGTTTGACACCATTTTCATGTAATAATATATAATAATTCATAATAATACAAGAACAGATTCCCAAACTTCAAACTGTAAAAACATTTAATAGTGGAAGTGGAAGACATTTTAATATCCAAAATCAATAAAACAAACTTAAAATGTAAAAGTCTCTGTAAAGAAAACAATCCTTTAAAAACGTTCAGTTGAAACTAAAATGGAAACTTTTACCATCCAGTTTCTGGATGAAACAGAAAAATGATGAACCATGTTTATGGAAATTATAAAGGCTGTTTTATCATGTAATTTATTGGATATTGGTTAGTGATTATTGATTATTGCGACAGGCTTATAATTATCACAGTCCAAAGAACAGGACACGCTGCCTGAAGACGCTCCGTTTTGATTTTGAATAAATTTGCAAAACCATTAAAATGTCATAATAGGATATTGGTGTGTAGAAATTATAATAATTTATTACAATTTGGAGAAAGTCTGTAAGATAGCAAAATGTGGAGAAACTGAAGCGCTGCAAATACTGAATTATAAATAAAAGAAAATATTTTTCCATCTAAAGAAACTGGAAGCAGGTTTCTGTGAGCAGAGCAGCTTTTCCTGCTGCAGCTCAGTAGGGAGGAAAAGGTCAGTCTGCTCTTTCTGAGTTCTTCTGTTTTTACCTTTTATTTTCCAGACGTTTCCATGTAACTCAGTCAGACAGTAAAAATAACCATCGCATGTCTACAGAAACACACCAAGCTGAGTGTCTGCTGTCAGATCCCTGAGGAACGCCGCCGGACATCAGATTTAATCCCTGAGCTGCTTCGGTTTTACAGTCACAGAGATTCTTTGTCTCAGTTTGATGTTTAAGCAAAGACTCAGCAGATTGGAAACATGCAGCATGATGAATCACCTGAGAGCCGCCACAGCCTCCACCAGGAAGCTGCTGAGGTGAAAACAAACCCAGACGCTTCATGTGTTTCAGACGCCTGAGCAACATTTCAATTAGACAGACTTTTATTTTGTAAAAGCTGCAGCTCCTGTTGAGAACAAACAGAAGGAAAATAACACAGCAACTTTTAAAAATGTTTTCAATGTCTGCTTCCAAAAAGATGCTATAAAAACTAATATTCATGTTTGTTTCCTCTTTTCTTAAACGCCTTCTGCCTTTCTCAGAACCGTAAAACATTAAAACATTTTAAATGTGTAACTTCTTTGTTTTATTAGTTGCTTCCTCTTCCAATGAACTCCCTTAAAAAGAGATTTTTAATCTCAGTGAGATTTTATTCAGGTTAAATAAAGATAAATAAAAATAAAATAAGTATTAAGTGTTTGTCCATCACTCTGTGGTTTGGTTCATCTGAAAAACATGACAGAACCAGACTGCAGCCAACCTGCAGAGACGATTATTAGGACTCCATCCAGGACTTTTACAGGTCAAAGGTCAGGGAAAAGGCAGCTAAAGTCTCTGCAGACCTCAAACACCCTGAAACAATGTGTTTAGGTTTCCCCTGCAGGCTCTCACTGCAGAGCATTTTTTACAGACCAGACAGTTTCTTCCCCAGGGCTGCGTCACTAATGAACAACCTGAATCTCTAACTATTAAACACTGAAACAGATATTTCTCTATCACAACAATTCCTCTATTTTTCTTTATTTAAGAAAACAAAAATAGAAAACAAAACAAGTTGACTCCAAATACATGATCATGTTGTTCCTTAATTCTTATGTCATACTTTATGTCAGCACACTTGAAAACTTGAGTCAAATTTCTATTCTTCATGGATTTCCTGCCCCCTAGTGGTCATCTCTGCTGTCTACAGCGTGGTTAAAAACGGAGGGTTTATCATTTTCTCTGCTGTAACAAAGTGAGTCAAATTAAGGTGGTTAATAAATATCTCGTTACTGCCATCTAGTGGTCACGGACAAAAACTGCAAAGTGGAAAGGGACTACCGTAGTTTTGTAAATTTTATAGTGAACAAGCATTTTAATCTGAAATTTTCAGATTAGTTTATACTTCTCTTATCAAACCTACAATAAACATTGTGAAAACTTAATAACAAGCGTTAAACCACCGTTTTAATATTTTACGCCAGCTGCTCTCCAGTTACGGCAGGAAATGCCTTGTGCCTCGTCGTGTTTCATCACTTCCTTTCACACCGGCGCTCCGTCGGCTTTACATCTTTGTAAAGGCTTTTGGGTTGAATTTCTCACTGAAAGGTTTGCAGGTAAAGGTGATTGTTGAATGAAACACAGAAGGGCTGGAAATCTGCTTCCACTTCTGTTGGTGTTTTGAGATGAAGTCGATCATCGCCGGAAGGTTTCTGTAGTTAGTTAGTTAGCTAGTTAGCTTAGCATTGTCAGTGGGAGCCACCTGGCAAGAAGACCCGCCTTAGTGGAGGCCAAAATGTTAAAAATGCGAAATTTAAAACTGTGTTTCCATCTGGAGAGACGGGAACTTTCATATAAACGCATTTCCTTGCATAATGAGAAGCAACAGAACGTTCAGCTAAAGTTAGTGAATAGGTTCAGTCCAGGTTAAGAGTTACTGTTAAAACCTGTGAGCTGTTTAAATAATATTACTCAAGATCGATAATAATTGTTGCTCAATATGCAAATAAACCAAAAATAGTTCTGGATTTGCCGTCATGTTTGCATATTTTTCTGTGACATTGATGTTTGAATAACGCAAAAATTATTTTCGTTATTCAAACGTAAAATCTGATTCTGTAAATTTTCATATTAATATTTAAATATTCTGTTTTTTCTGGACTATGAAAGGAATGAGCAGGACTGTAAGTTGATGTGTTTATTCCCCGTCTAAATGTAGATTTTTTTTCTGAGCTGATTTATTTATTCATAAAATGCATAGAAGTTGTGCTGATCTTATTTTTTGCTTTTAGATTGGAAATGTCTGGTAATACTGTTTAATTATCTTCTGAATGTGCAGCTACACTTTAAAAAGTGTAACAGTCACAAACGTAAATTAAAATGTTTTAAATAAATTTTACTGACACCTAACTTTATATCTTTTTTATTTAAATTATTTTTTTTCCTTATAACCACAAAGTCGCCAAGGAAACCAGTTTAAAAAAACGTTTCTGTTTTTCTGCAGGTTCACTGATGTAACTCAAAGTATTTACAGAAATGATTCGGTTTGAAGAATAAATTAATCCTTGAAAATGTTTCCAAATTACAGCAGACTTCTTTCACTCCTTCATGGGTCGATGATGATTAGCCCACTGCGCAATCTGATCAATGCTCTGTGTTTGAGTTCATTGCTGGAGAAATGAGTGCTGCTGCGATCTGAGACCCTGGCCATACGCAGATCAATCTGCTGATTATTAAAGTGCAAAACTGATAAACCATCTGTCTGTTTTGACGTCAGGTCATGGCAAAGTTTCACGCCCCTGTGATCCAGGACAACCCGTCCGGATGGGGCCCCTGCGCCGTCCCAGAGAAGTTCAAGGACATGCCGTACCAACCGTTCAGCAAAGGAGACCGACTGGGGAAGGTTCGTTCTCTGACGATCGGTTCGTCCTGACGATCGGTGATCGGTTCGTCCTGACGATCGGTGATCGGTTCGTCCTGACGATCGGTGATCGGTTCGTTCTGTCTGAGTCATTCTGATCTCCAGTTGGTTCCTCACTCTGTGTGTTTTGGTTCTGGCAGGTCGCTGACTGGACCGGAGCAACTTACCAAGACAAGAGATACACCAGTGAGTGAAACGGCGGCTTCAAGCGCCGCCCTGAGATAAACATGGAGATGAACTTTTGATAAACAGTTTTATATGAAGAGCAACTTTTAGACATTAAATCAGAATCAGGTCAGGCTTTTTAAAGACCGGCCAGAAAACTGCAATTGGTGCAGCTCTAGTTTATTTTATAGAAATTATTTTAGAGTTAAAGATTAGTCAGCCTTGTAAACAAGTAATCTATTGATTATTCTGATGATTAATCAAGTAAAAACTTGTTCTGTTGTAGCTTCTTAAGCTAGAAAAAAGAGAAAATGCTGCTAATGAACAATTCAGTTCCTTTTTTAAATAATAAACATTTTATTGCTTTAAAAACAATTCAGACTTCACTTTAGTCTCAAGTTTGAAATGTGACACAACTTTTTCATAAAATAGATATTTCCACTTAACTTTAGTTCTTGTTGATCAGCAGGTTCATGTCATGTTGGCCAAAGTGAAATTCTTTGTTCATGTAAAACAAACAAACAAACGCTTTGCTCCAAACAGAGCAAAGCGTTTCCCGTTAGCCGTTAGCTCCAAGCAGAGACGGGAAGTTTCCTGATGAGGCGTTTGAGGACTGACTGAGCTGTGGGATCTTTCTGTTTAGTTCAGTGATCCCTTCTTCCTGTCAGCCTCCTTCTGCAGCTGCTAGTAGCGCTTAGCTTTTGCTAACAGCTAGCTGATAGGTGCACAAAACTCTAAATGGTAAAACGTAGTTTAACGAAGTCTGGAGGAAGTTTAACAACCGAGGATTATTCTGTGAATGGTTCCGGTCCTCCAGTCGTGTGTTTCAGTCATCAGTCTGGTTTCTCCTGTTGTTTTCAGATAAATATTCGTCTCAGTTCGGCGGCGGCAGTCAGTACGCTTACTTCCACGAGGAAGATGAGACGAGCTTCCAGCTGGTGGACACGGCCAAAACGCAGAAGACGGCGTACCAGAGGAACCGCATGCGCTTTGCTCAGGTAACACAGAACCAGCAGAACCTCAGCAGAACCACAGGAACCAGTCGGATTAAAGGTTCTGTAACTGTTTCCACAGAGGAACCTGCGCAGAGACAAGGACCGCAGGAATCTGACCCAGTTCAACATGCAGACGCTCCCGAAGAGCGCCAAGCAGAAGGAGAGGTGAGACCCGCCTGACGGCGCCGGGCGGAGAGTCGGTGGGATTAAAGGCTTAATGCGGGTTTGTGTTCAGGGATCGGATGCGTCTGCAGAAGAAGTTCCAGAAGCAGTTTGGAGTCCGACAGAAGTGGGACCAGAAGTCTCAGGTAGTTTTACTGACGTTCAAGAAAAGTAGATAAAATGAATCTGAGCTGAATCCTGAAAATCTGATCAAAGTTCATCAGGAAAACCGTTTTTCCTTCATATCAGCAACAGAAAGCTGAACGTCTGATTAAAACATCAGTTTGATCACATCAGGTTTCGTGTTAAAGCTTTCACATCCTCATGCATTCATGATGAATCGATTATTGAAATGATCCAAATCTTTTTTCTAACATTCAGTTATATTTTTAGCAGCTTATTTAGTTTAAAAGTCACTGAAATGTAACTGCAGTAAAACTTTAAAACAATAAAATCTGAAACAACTCAGAAGAAATAAATGAACAAATCAGACACAGGTAAAATAATTGGTTTAAACGTGTTGGGGCTGAAATGATTGTGATCAATCGATTATTGATTATTGTGTCTGTGCTGCAGGCCCAGCTGAAGCCCAGAGACTCGTCTGTGGAGGTTCGGAGCGACTGGGAGGTGAAGGAGGAGATGGACTTCCCCCGACTGATGAAGATGAGATACATGGAGGTGTCCGACCCGGTCGACATGTAGGTGGCGCCGATCCGCTCACCGTCGCTAAATCAGACAAAACTGGTGTCAAATGAATCCGACTGCGTATATGCATCAAATTTTCTGTTTGTCCCGCTGTCATTTTAAGGATATTAATGTTTCCAGAGGTCATGAAAGGTCAACCTGCCCCTCCACATTACTCAAATCTAATAACGTCTGCTGCTTTTCCTTTGAAGATATTGATGATGACCTCTGATGACCTCTGAAAACAATATACGTTTGACACCAATTTTCTTACATGTGAAGCAGGGATGGAGGCAACCCCCTGAGGTTTGGGGGCGGAGCCTCAGGGTGACCTCCCCTGAGGTTTGGGGGCGGAGCCTCAGGTTGACTTCCCCTGAGGTTTGGGGGCGGAGCCTCAGGGTGACCTCCCCTGAGGTTTGGGTATTTGGGGGCGGAGCGTTGAAGTGGCGCTGTGTTTCCTGCAGAGAGTGCTGCGGTGCACTGGAATACTACGACAAGGCCTTCGACCGCATCACCACCCGCAACGAGAAGCAGCTGAAGAGCATCAAGAGGATCTTCCACACCGTCACCACCACCGACGACCCGGTCATCAGAAAGGTAAGCCCCGCTCCTCACGACCCCACGCCACTCTGCAGAGGTCAGCGGGTCAACCCTGTCCGTCTCTCGTCTCCAGCTGGCCAAGACACAGGGCAACGTGTTCGCCACCGACGCCATCCTGGCCACGTTGATGTGCTGCACGCGCTCAGTCAACTCCTGGGACATCATCGTCCAGAGAGTCGGCAACAAGCTGTTCTTCGACAAGAGGGACAACTCCGACTTTGGTCAGACTTCCACCAGTTTAAATGTTCAGCTAAATGTTTCAGTTCTAACTCTGAGCTGCTTTCTTTCTGCAGCTTAAACCAGAACTAGCCCCTCCCCAGACGCTTAGCCCCTCCCCAGACGCTTAGCCCCTCCCCGGACGCTTATCTCCCTCCCGTACACATATCTCACTGCCAG